ATTAAAACATATTCTGTTATTTACAAGGTACAATTGAATTTGGTTTATTTTATTATAGAAACCCTGAGATTGGTCTAGTTGGTTTCGCAAATGCATGATATTTATCAGACCCGCATAAAGCTTGATCGCAAACCGGGTATGTGTTTTACAGTTGGTGAAATAACGATCTCTTCCAAAAGCAGACTTTGGTTGTAACTTCTTCAAATTATGCATAAACTACTGCATTACATGAAGTTTGTAGGGTAACATATGGCTCAGATCTATAATTCATCATATACAAGATGCAAGCAGAATAAAAAGAGCCAACAAAAGTGTTTAAAGATAATACTGCATGTGTTGTACAACTTTAGGAAGGTTATTTCAAAAGTGATCGAACAAAGCATTATCCCTCCAAGATTTTTTTTTTACACAAAAGACTCAAGAAAAATCAAGAAGTAGACATTTAATATGTTCGTTCATGCGACAATGCAGCCGACCTATTTACAACAGTGTTTCCGACTACAATATTCAGAAAAATGCGTTAATAGCATTGGAATACGCCATATAAGAGATCTCTGAAAAGGAAATTATATCTGTCTCTTTCAGTGAGAGATTGCGTCACTGTACTTTTTTTTTCTTATTATGATTTTTATCCCATTAAATTTTTCTATAATAAGTTTTTTAGTATTGGGTATTTATGGAGAGTGTTAAATATTGATGTGATTATCCATTTATTTTATCATTATTGATTCACCTAATTCGATTACTCAAAAAATAGAATTGTAAGTTTGTAACACTTTTATAAACAAAAAGTACATGAATAAAAAGAATTAACTTCCATCTCTCTCTTACATCCTCTCTTTCATTTTCAAAAAACATATATATAATATAATATTTATAATAAAATATATCCTCTATATATATATATATATTAGTTTGTTTTATAACAAAGCCAATATATTTCTTATCATAATAAATATAATTATCATATTTCTCCCAACTGTACTTAAAATTTATTTTATCATACACAAGATAGCAAGTAAGCTATTCACTTCCTCTATAAACACCTATAGCTAATCTTGTTAGTTTTCCAAACTGGCTTGATTTATAAGAAATTTATGCCGCAATATAAAACCAAACAAAAAGACAAAAATATATCAAAATTAAATATCTTTTGACCTGGCTTAGAGCATAGGCAGGCTAAGTTAATGTCTAAGACCACTATTTTTTTCAATATTTTTATAGGCCACATATATATTAGAAATAACAAGTATAGATTTATATACACTAAATTTTGAAACCCATTTATAAAATAAAATTACAAATCTTTCTTAATTTTTATGGGCTATATTTATTTTTTTCGAACCACCATTTAAGTTAAACCGGTACTGGCTATATAATATATTGATGTGGAGGTTCAAGTCCACACCGTATATGTTTAAGTTCATGTATGTCTCGTTATAAGCTTAAAATAATTTCCTAATAATTTTCAAACCATTTTTAATTTTTAAGAATACTTTTTAAAATTTCTAAATACTTTATAAACATTTAGTATATTATTCTGAAATAATTTTTATTATATTTCTAAACTTTTTGAATCACTTTTCAATGTTAGAAGTATTTTAAAATGTCTAGTGGTATCTGTCTAAATTTAAAACATTTTCTTATAATTACATGGTTAATAATATCACAAAAATTTGTAGATATTTCATAACTATATAAGAACACCCTTTTACATCTCCAAATATATAATAAATCATCGTAACATATTTTATAATCATCTTTTATATATTTATAATTATTTTTCAAATGTTAATACTATTTATATTCTAAATGTTTAGTAAAACATTTATGAATCATTTCTTAAAAAATGAGTAACTTGAAGTATATATTTGTCTAAAGTTTGAAACAAGATATATATGAATTAAAAGTGTAAAACAATTACTAAAAGAAAGAATGATAGAAAATATCAATTTTTCTGTTGTGAAAAATTCAATTTTTTAATTAATAGATAGTGATAAATCTAGAACTAAAAACATAGTTATATGGTATTTAAATGTATTTCTTTTTCAGAAATTCACTTAAACAATTAAAAATTCTCAATTAAATATGTCGCACTATTACATAACTGTCAATTTGTTATTATCTATATATATAAAGTTACATTTTCTCACTTCTTGTGCTACCACCTCAGCAACTATATCATTAATTGTTTATCATTTAATTTTTTCTAAAACACAAAATAACATTAATATTTAATATAAAACAGAAAAACTAAAAAGACAATTATAATATGTTTTCAGAAAATAAAATAAAATAAAACTAAAAAATAATTATATACATTAGCTTTGAATATTTAAAGATTCAAGGCAGAAATTTACGAGTGTGTGATCGGAATTGATAATTAGAAAGTCAAAAAACAATAAAAATTATCATTAACATTCAATATAAAAAATAACAAACATAAAAAGACAATGATAATTTGTTGTCAAAAAATAAAAATCAACAACATATAAAATAGCAAAACCAAAAAAATAATGATATACATTAGCTCTGATTATTTCATGATTCAAGGCTGAAATTTACGAGTTTATGACGGGAATTGGTATAAAGACAATAATAATAAAAATTATTATTAACATTCGATATAAAAAATATCAAAGATAAAAAAAATTATAATATGTTGTTAGAAAATAAAAGATCAACAAAATACTATAAAAAGATAATGATATACTTTAGCTCTGAGTATTTCAAGATTCAAGGCAGAATTTACGAGTGTGTAACAGAAATTGTTAATTAGAAAGATGGAAAAAAAAAATAATAATATTAAAATTCAATATAAAAAAAATATAATGTGTTGTCAGAAAAAAAAGAACAAAATACAATATAAGAACAATATAAAACCAATAAATAATGATATACTTTAGCTCTGACTATTTAAAGATTCAAGACGGATATTTACGAGTGTGTAACAGACATTGATAAGTAGAAAGACAGAAAATAATAAATATTAATATTAATATTCAATATAAAAAATAGCAAACATAAAATGTTAAATTATAATGTGTTGTCAGAAAATAAAAATAAACAAAATACAAAATACAAAAAATAATAATATACGTTAGTTTTGAGTATTTCAATATTAAAACCGGAAATTTAAGAGTGTTTGATTGAAATTGGTAATTAGAAAGACAGAAAATAATTTCCAAAGAAAATCTAATAAAAATGGGATAGGAAATTCGGGTAACAAGATGGATTTGAGAAATTGTATTATCTAAAATCTATTCATAATTTCTCAATAATTTGGATAAAAATCAACTTCAAAAAAATATTTTGGGAAAATTCTGGAAATTCGAGGAAATTTTAAAAAACTCTTTAATTTTAAAAAATTTAATTTTAAATTGATAATTTGGATACCTAATATCATATATGTTCTCTTTTCTTATCTGTTTGAATAAACCAAATAATCTTGAATAGATAATATTTGATCAAAATTAAGATAAATTAAAAAATTCAAGATGGGTACTTTGAAAAAAATAAACAATTACAAAATGTCCAAAACTATATGATACAATAAAAAATACATAAAATGATAATCAAATCTCGGTGTTGCATAGATCACAAACTAAAAATTTGAAAAAGATGGAAAATTCGAGAGATGTATATGTGAGAAATAGAAGTCTATCTTAAAACTCTTAAAAGTATATGATACAACAAATTTAATAAAAAAATCATATAATATATAAAAGTTGATGGCATAGTGTATTGAGGGCGTCAACATGAGATTAAAAAACTCGATCTGATTGGTCAACATCAGCATATTCATTAAATAAAAAAATGTTAAGTATGATTAGGACAGAAAAACTTGATTTAATTGGTCCACATCAGCTTTTGAATCAAACCAAAAATTATTAAGTCTAATTAAAACATTCAAAGTTAATTTAACAAATTATGTCCAACAAAAAAAAGTAAATTCAATCTCACTGATCCAAATCAACATATTTATTAAATCAAAAAATGTTAATATGGTTTAAAAATTTAAAAGTTAAATAAAAAATTAACAATTAACAATACATGTATTAAAAAGTAACCATTATCAATTATAAATTTAAAAAAAATCTACAACAACTCGATTTAACAATTAAAACAATGAAAACTGAATAAAATATAACATAAAACTTTTGGAAGACATGATGGAGAAGGAAAAAATGGTTTTGCATAATCAGTACAGCTTCCTAACAAAATTAAATGCGAATCAACATGAAACATGGATTATATATACAATGGTAGACAACATCAATAAGACTTTCAATAAAAAGAAACTAAATATTTGAACACATAAACCTTTAAGAAAAAAGAACTATAGAAATTCAATGGAAAAAGAAAATAATACCAAAATCTTAGCAAGATTATATTTCTCTAAATCAAATGTATATGTACGTCAAAGTTGGATAATTTGATAGGTGTCATTGTTATTATTTTACATAATAATTTTTAAAAATTTATTAATAAAATAGGATAAATTACATATTATATATTAAATTCTCTTATATAAATAAAAATTTCTATATATATATATATATATATATTTTTAATAATTTTAAAAATAATAGCTAAAAAAAATAAACCAAAATATTAATACAGTGTATAAAAATGAATCACATAGTCGCGCGTAGCGATCACCAACTAGTTGTTAATATTTTTAACATTTTTGAAGATATCTTCTCCTTTTGGCAGATTTATGACGTTAAATTTGAATTATTTTCTTTCTTTCGTGATTTGTTTTTAAAAACCATTAACTTTGTAATAATAAATAATTACACAAAACCGTGTCTCCAAAAATAAAATAAACCGCGTACGAAATATCCCTTTCCTTTTCGGTTTAATGCCTTTATGGCTTCCTTTTACTTAACCACTACTACTTTAAACAGTTTCTCTGCTTCTTCATCACATTCACCAGAAAAAAGAAAAATCAGATTATCATCTTCTCCGATTCGAATCCCTTGTTTTCAAATCAAGCTATGCAGCAAGACCCCAATCCAAGACCTGCTACTGGGTATCCATACCCGTATCCGCCGCAACAACCCTACGCTTCCGCCAACGGTTATCCTCCCAACGCCGGAACCGCCTACCCATACCAAAACCAGAACCCTTACTACGCACCGGAGCCAAATTCACGCGCCATCCTACTCCGCCGTCTCTTCATCGCCTTCCTCGTCCTTCTCCTAATCTTAGGACTCATCCTCTTCATACTCATGCTTGTTCTCCGTCCCCAGTATCCCGACGTCTACATCAACTCTCTCTCCGTCTCCAATTTCAACGTCTCCAACAATCAGCTCACCGGAAAATGGGATCTGCAGCTCCAATTTCGAAACCCTAATTCCAAGATGTCGCTTCAATACGACGCCGTCATCCTCAATCTGTATTACGGCGGTAGCTCTCTCTCCGATACGCGTTTACAGCCGTTCGATCAAGGGACGAAAGATCAGACTCCGGTAAACGGTACGCTCTCCGTCGCCGGGACTTACATCGACGGTAGATTGGCTAATTCTATTGGGCAAGATAGAGCCGCGAAAGGAAGCATAGAGTTCGATTTGAGGATTTATTCTTTGGTTACTTTCCGTAATGGAGTTTATCGGAGGAGGAGATACATCACGAGTTACTGTGATGACGTGGCGGTTGGTGTTCCGGCGAGTAGGGGTTCAGGGGATATGATTGGTCCGTCAAAGAGATGCAGATCTTATTGAAAATAATGAAAAAAAAAGTGAGTTTATTTCTTTCTTTTGAGAATCATAATATTGAATTGGTTGGTTACCTTAGGGATTTTACAATTTAGGTTTTGTTTTTAATTAACCAATCAACTATGGTTACTCCATGTGGATGATGAGATATTCATGTTGGAGAAAGAAAACAAATGAATTTTTTTAGCTAATGTATGCGTTATTGATTGATGATGATTCTCTGTTTCATTCTTGAAGATTATGGAACTTAAATTGATTAGTTCTATTGGGATTTTACTAAGATTCCTTTTGGTGATTCTGCTTGTCACATGAAACTTGAACAGTCTTTTGGAATGGCTTTGGTACCAGTGAGTGAGTTTTTACTTCTTGTTAAGATATCTTTTGGTGATGCTCGCATGATATGGTGTTGAAAGATTATGGCATGATTGAATCATTCTTGAAAATGTATCATAGTTGAAAGTTGAAAACGTTAGCTTAAGTAATAGCAAATCCAGCTCATTATGTGAGTCAAGAAGTATTATATGATGTCGAAAGATGGGCCAAGCCATATTTTTGTGGGGTTTGAATAATGAGACTGTTTATGGTATCTGGATTTGTTTCTTACGGCTGAAGGATGAATTTCTTCGGAAATATCTCATTCGGAAAGTGCTACTGTTGGTTTTGACAAATTTAACATTTCATATTTACTTACCAGCTTCTGATAAAAATGGATGCGAGGACTTACTGATAAAAATCGAAAACATTCACTTAAAAGAAAAAAAGAAAAAAATAAATATAGGTTTGTTGTGAAATAATCTAAATTTGGATCTGTATAAGCATATACGTGAGTTTAGAAAATGTTTTAAAATTCATAAATATTGTTTGACGTAAACTTTACCTAACAAAATTTCACTAAAACGATTATACTATATGCATTTGGATCTTTGTAATTTTAGTAAAGTGATCGCTGTAATTTGATCGCAGAAATCTCTTTAGATGTTGATTTTAATGCTTCCGGCATTTTCAATCTTTCTGGGATTTTTATTTATATATCATTTCCAAGTGATCCATATAGATATGTTGTCACAACATCCATCAAATACATGTCTAGATTCTTGGATGCTGTTAGACTCATTAAGAATCTGAATGTTATTGCATCCATTACCAAGGAATATGTTTTCTCATAAATCAATTTTTGGTCTTTGAGAAAATTCTTGTGCTACAAAGCGAGCTTTATACTTTGTAGCCTCGTTTTTCTCATTTATCTTTCTTACAAAATACCCATTTGTATTTGATTGGCATTATATGCTCTAATGTTGGTGATAATATGTCTAGAAACTTTTTTTATTTAGGGAGAATAATTCTGTTTCAAAGGTCATCTTTCATTTCTTCCAATCATGTCTTTTCCGACTTTTATCTCTGATCCATAATTCTCCATTTTGGGCATAATTTATGGCCTCTATTTTGAAAAAAAAAAATGGCATAGTTTATGGAAATCTTAAATTTTTCTGTTCCTTATTCTTCTTTCTTTACTTATATAATATTCATAAAAGATGCATTAATAAGTATTAAAAACTTATCTAGCAATACAACTTATTATACAATAAAACCTACAACAAAATATTAAAAACCAAAGCATATAAGATATCAGAAGCATGAAACTTTTGTCTTTTTGTCTTCTTCAGGAAGACATCATATTACATTGATTTTTGTCACTTTTCCATTGATCCTTCTAGATCAACTTGGAAATCTGTAATATCAAGATTAGTATTGTCATCAGTGCCATAGAAAGAATGTCCGGGATCATCATAAAAAAATTTTGTTTTCCTTTCTTTCTCTTTTGTCTTATGTGGTTCCCGGTCGGCTAAATGTTTTGGAGTACAACATGTACGTCCCCAATGACCTTTCATGCCGCATCTTAAAAAAATTGTTTCCTTTCTCCTTTTATTTTCCCGGCCATCATCATCTCCATGAAAATTTTCACTATCTTTTTTCATAATTGAATCGTGTGGACGATATCCTCCTCCTCGTCCACGTCCACAACTTCGACCAGAGTATTGACCACGTCCACGTCCTTGCCAATTATTATAACTAGATGATGCAACATTCGCTTCTGAGAATGGTGCAGATCCAGTTGGATGACATTGATGGTTCATCATCATGAGCTTGCTATTCTATTCTGTAACAAGTAGTATATGCATTAATTCTGAATAACAAGTATATCTATTTGCTCGGTATTGTTGTTGCAGAACTATATTTCCATGATGAAATGTGGAGAGAGTTTTCTCAAATATTTTTTTTAATCTCTAATAACTTTTCCACATAACACCATCCTGGATGTTATACCAAATATCACAGAATTATAATCACTAACATTTTCATAGTCAGAAAACCGGAGATATAACCACTTGTGTCTAGCTTTTGATAAGATCACATATTTCTGGTGATCTAACCTTTCTTTAAGCGATTGCAAGAGATTTGTGGGATCTTCTTTTATGATCTACTCATCTTTTAAACCATCGTGGATACAATGATGTAAAAATATCATGTCTCTTGCCTTTTCTCATCTGATGTCGGTTTTGACTTATCGATGGAATCAAGATGCCCGTTTCCTCTTAGATGCATTTTTGCACCTACGGTCTATGTCATATAATTTTTTTCGGCTATATCAAGGGCAGCAATTTCGAGCTTCGCCAGATTTGACATTATGACTGAAGATCAAAAATTTGTTTATCTTAATAAAAAATTAAAAAATTGAGCATAGTAACAACATAATAAAAGACAATAATTTAAAATAATATGAAGAGGCATAGTTTACATATAATTGCGAATATACTAGATAATGAACAAAGATGGAGGTTTTAACCTCCCATGCAATAAATAAATAATTAGATAAGGATGTGGATTTTAATCTCCCACTCTATAATATATGACCTGAGAAGAAATAGTCTACCATGTGATTATTTTGATCATGAAAGAGCATACCATAACGATCAGCTCAGAAGAGGCAGAGCCTACCATCCCTGCATGATAAATAAATAATATTTTAACTGTGAAAGCATAACCTATCATAATGATTAGTTCAGAGGAGGCAAAACCTACTATCCCGGCATAACATAAAAACGAAGAAGACATAACCTATTTTTCTGTGAATAATATATTTATTAAATAAATTAAACCTAAATAAATCTTATCTTCCAAGTATAGATATGTCTTCCGGTCATAAATCAAGAGATTTTCATGCTGATAACATATTATAAATTATATTACGATATATATAATTACAGTGAAGAGATTTTATCATAAATTATATTACGATATATATAATTACAAGACATTATATTATATAAGTTTCTTGAAAGAGGGAGAGAGGGAGGGAGAGGGGAGAGAGGGAGAGGGAGAGAGAGGGGAGAGAGGGAGAGAGAGGGGAGAGAGGGAGAGAAAGGGAGAGAGGGAGAGAGAGAGGGAGAGAGAGAGAGAGGGAGAGAGAGAGAGAGGTTAATTCTTCTTATTCATGTGCCTCGTTTACGAAAGTGTTACAACTCTGTTTATAGAGTTATCAAGTCGGTGGAATTAATAATGCAAAACAAATGGATAATCATATCCATATTTAACAGGCTTCTCCTAATCTTCAAGGGAAAAGAACGTAAAATTAAACCAAAAGAATCAGCATTTTAAGTTCCAGATTGGATTATTAACATTATGTTTAAATAATTAAAGGGCAAATTTATCACCTAAGACCTCTTCATAGGGTTCGTAACATCCAAATTAACTCTGACTCTAAGATAGGCTTCACTTTGAGGAACTGATTGATCGAAAACCGCTTCAATCACATGACCAACAAACTCCTCCAAAGTAGTAATCGACGTCAGGGTGTAGTTATTGATGGGAACATTCCACATCTGAGTCCACACGAGCATGAATCGCAGATAATCCCCTGGTGGATTTTCTATCCACCGATCAAAGATTATTGCCAATTCATTGAAATAGTGTACTGCTGTCTTCAGAATTTCTTCCATATCATGTTCATATTTGAAGAAGAACAGAAAACTTTCTCTTATAAGAGCAACTCCTTTCACTCTTTTAATTATTTGCCACTTGGCATCTCTAGAATAAAGCTGGACAATCTTCTGACACGCAGGATTAAGCAACCGTCCAATGATACTCAGAACATTCTCTCCACATGATTTGTATTCCGGAAGATCTGACAAATCAAACAGGACTTCATCTTCCTCAAGAGAGAAATCCATAATTGCTTTATCAAGGCTTGATGTCATCCATAATTTCAGATTCTAATCCGCTATACCGAAGAAAGACACAAAAAAAACATGAAACCAAGATATAACACAGAGAGAAAGCTTTGTATTCTAAGGGTCGGATTCAAGAAAGCTTTGGAATTCACTACAAGATCACTCTTTCGGATAACTAACGATGAAGAGGTGCAATCGTAATCACACTGAATGAAAAAGAAGGTCTTAAGCTAAAAGAGCACATTTTTGGAATTCGTTGTTTATGTTGAAAATCTAGATGTTATCAAGTAGCCTGGGCAAATGGATTCTGAGGTTACATTAATCTCATCTCAACGTAAATCAGAGGCACTTGAAGCTATTTCTGATACCAGGCGTATCAAATCTTCGATGGTCCCAAATAAGGGACTGTCCAAGTCCCAATGAGCTTCATCAGCTAGAATTGTCAAGGATTATGATGATTTCAAGACTTGAAAATTCCTAGACTCATGGAAATGCGTATTGAACATTTCCCTGATGTCTTGTTCCTTATTGATACTATGCATTGTAGAAACGTTTTGGTGCATATTCAGGAATAGTTGGGATATGAAAGAGTACATACACTTGAACTGGTTGGTAAATTTGGTGGACTTGCAGTTTTTTGGAAGAAGTTCGAGACTATGGATATCGAGTACTCTAGTAAGAATATAATAGACTTTTATGTACAACTAGGAAAATGAAGTAGCTATGTTTCGTGTGATTGTGGGGATTCTTCAGAAAAAATGAGAGCCAGTTTATGGG